TCTAAATCAATGTAAAACTAAAGAACAAATATTCAATATTATTGTCATTCTTAGTGTTGAATTGATTTTCTTTTTGCATTAGTATTAATTTGATTTTGATTTAAGTTTTATTATAATTATCAACATCTATGAACTATAATCTTTATTGGACCATTCCGAATTCTAAGTTTTAAACTTGAAATAATATATTAAAAGATAAAAACTATGAAATAGTATAAGAAATATTTTAAAATTATATCAATGTAAATATTTTTATGTATAAAATAAAATTTTAAAATTACATATATAATGTCGGGTTGGTTTGGTCTCGGGTTGTTTTTTTTTTAGTTAAAACCAAACCAACCCAAATATAGTCGGGTTTTTTTTCCGAAACCAAACCAAGTCAAACCAAACCACTAGTCGGGTTTTTTGTTCGATTTGACTTAATTTACGATTTAGTTCGATTTTCGATTCGATTTTGTACACCCTAATAACATGTACCTGATCACCCATGGTAACAACAACATAAGGATCACTATGAAATGTATCCTTGAGTGGTAGATTGATGCCTTTGTGCACCCTAATTTTAACAACTCCCAACATCTTCAAAAAAAAAATTGAATTTTTTTCAACTTAGTTGGTTTATGTGCCACAACAATATATCAATATGGCCTTAGAAAGCGACTTTCGTTTATTGCATGACCTTGTGTTGATTTATTCTTTTTATCACTTCAGAATAATTCTAGCACTTAATTAGAATTTCAAAAAGAAAAAGGGAAATGGGAACTTATACCATCGGTCCATTATTCACCTTAACACTCTGTTTGGATTATTGTTACCCATTTTTTCATAATGTATTGTATTGTATTGTACTCTATTGTACTGTATTGTATGGTAGATACAATGTTTGGCTAGTCTGTATTGTTTGTTATTGTTTAATAACATTTTAATTGTTTGGTTTGATTGTATAGTACTGTATTGTAACAACGAAATTTAACAATACAATACAATACATTTTAAGTAACAATCAAAACAAACATTGTAGGTATAGTAACGATACAATACAGTACAATGGGTAACAATGATCCAAACAAAGTGTAAAAGAATCTCTCACTTTCAACTTAAAAAAATTATCGGTAATTTCTAATTAATTCATCACTAAAGCCTAAATAGTTTTAGCTAATTAACTTTTTTTTTAATAATCTATTACTAATTTATAACTAACTGAAATTAATATACAATTTTTGTTATTTAATTATCAAATTTTATTCATAATTAACTCCTTATTTTGTAATAGTGTCTTCAAAGAGAATCTAATAACTTTCTAGAGTTATTCATAATTTACTGACCTTGTTCCCCAATAGTATACTATCAAATATCACACTGATCACCAGTAGTATTAAGTTATTATTAATGTGAACCACAAAATTAACTCTATTCAGTAAAATCACCATAGACACAAAATACCTAAAATTAAACATTCAATATTTAGTGTATAAAAAAAAATACATGTAACGCCCAAGAAACACAAATAACTGATGATATATAGAACAATCACATAAATATATATCTTCCAAAAGGGAAGCTGCAAGTAATTCTAGCACAATAAATAAAAAACATATATATATGGTTACATTACATAATGAAGTGTTAAAAATTTAACAATGTTGCTTCAACGAAGCAAAGATGATTTTATACGCCTCGCGCTCAAGGCTTTTTAGGTACTTGAGGTATTTCTAGCTTTGGCAAAGTTGGTAATTCAGGCATAGGAATAAAAGGTATCTCGAGTTTTGGCAATGCTGGAAGTTCGGGCTTTGGCAATGTTGGTAACTCTGGCTTTGAGATTTTTGGCAGTTCGGGCTTTGGTAGAGTTGGTAGCTCAGCTTTTGGAATTTCAGGGAATTCAAGCTTAGGTAAAGTTGGGATTTCAGGTAAATGTGGCAGTTCGGGCTTAGGAAGCTCAGGTAGAGTTATTTCAAGAAGATGACGAGCGTCTGATTGAATTACATAATCACTTGTTAAAAACAAAGTGACAAATAATAAGAAGAAAAAAGATGGGTTGTAGTAATAAGCCATATTTGTTGAAAGGTGATATCAAGACTAGTAAGTTATGCTCTGATTGATTTTGCTTTATGTTTCACTTCAAACAAGTTTATATAGATGTGTGGTTGTAGAAATTAAAAATTGGAGAATTAGGCTTTGGTAGGAAAAATTGTGTGTTAGTTCATCTTCTCAACAATAACCTCCTAATTTAATCTACAATAAATTTACTTATATAACATATTTTATGTAAATATTCCTACTCAACACATAATAAAAAGCCTTCAAGTAGGTAATCTAAAGAGAGAACTTACTTTTCTTTAAAATTAGACAAAGGTTCTATTGAATAAAATGACATACCATAACTAGATTGTGTACAATAATATATTAGTAAAGATAACTGTTGAAAATTGTAATGACCCGAAATGTCATTTTTGGAAATTTAGAATATATTTTAACTAGAGTGAATTAGTTGGTGGTTAATAGACAATGCCATAATTTATTTAATACCTATACAACTTAACCCATATTAAAATAAATTAATAGGATTTGTCACTTTTAGCACAAAATTATTTTCGAATGAAAAAGAATTAGATCGGCGGAATACCTCCTGGCGCCGTCACATAAGAACGATTCATTGAGGTAATAATTTTAAATTAGATATTGTTGCATACGATTACTTCATTTCTAATTAAGGGATAGCCAGGTTGTTATTATTATATTATTATTATTGGTTGGAGAAGGAGTATCATCAAAATGTCAATATTGTTCGTAGTTAAAGGAAAAAAAATATAGGATTATAAGTAATGCAATAATTAGTTGACCATTATAGATATGTCATTGGTTATTTTTTTGAGAAGTTATTGCTGGTGTTCCCTTTGGCAGTATGCCAAGATTTCCAGTGGAATATTGATACGCCGTCAATGGCCATTTTGGGATAATTGTTGGATAATTATTGTAATTAATCATTGGGAAAACTAAAGTGATAAAAAGAAGGCGTGTGGGTATAATTTCTACATAATTGTTACAATTTTGGTGGGTTGTATCCATCTTGGAAATATTTTTATAGGATGATCTAGTTTTCGATTTATGATATAGGAGAAGTTGGAACTTAATTCTAAGTTTGAAATCTTATTATGATTATTTATTTGAATAGATTGCTTTCAATTGGAAGTTCAATGAAAGGAGAAGACTCAAGTCTCGGAATGAATTCTTTATTGATTGAGGCAAGTGGATTTCTAAACCTTTGTTAAGTGTATGGAATTCATGTATTTCCTTGTAATATGTGTTTAGGGTAATGAGGCTTGGTGATGGGTTGACTTGTCCACATTGATTAATTCTAATGATGAAAAAGGGATAATAAAAGGCAATGTGATCAATTGTTTGTGTGATGTGTTGAGAATTGTTTGAAAGACTTGTTGAATCATTGTTGATGTTGTATCTTGATTGTCTTGTTGTGAATTGTGCAATGTTATGAAAATGGTCATCTCCTCATTATTTGTGTGAACATGTCATTTGCATTGTTCTGAGACATGGTTGTGACAAGTGTTATGTGCATTGAGAAAGAATAAGAAAATAAAGAGGATGTACCATTTCGAGGGACGTATCGCGCGCCGCGATGGTTACTATTATCGAGGGTCGTATCGCGCGCCGCGATGGATGCATGGACAGATATGTCCCCCATGGGTCCCGGACTGAGAGACAGCGGGTGTGTATCA